TGGGATGGGAAGCAACATCTGGATGTCACCTGGAAGCCTTCCCCCAGCCCCACCCTCACCGAGGAGACAGGAGAATCCTGTCCATGGTGTGGAGCGAATTCGAGGCGGTGCTTGTCCTTCAAGGCTCCCTGACCCTCCCCACTGGGTGTTACCACCTCCTCCAGGAAGCCCTCAGATCTTTCCTGAAACACAAGTACTTCTGTCTCACATTGGCACTCCAGCTGAGATAATGGGAGGGGCCTGGGCAGATCCAAGTGGGCCTAGGCAGTCACCTTCATTTCTTTTCTCAGAACTCTTTTATTCTGTTTATGCCCCCAAGGCCACTGTGAAAATGCAACACACACACACACATGGACAGATGTCCTGTATAAAATTGCTGAAAAGTGACTGGGGACTGTCCTTGTTCCTTCACCCCCAGTGTGGCCATCCTACTATATCTGAGTCGCAAATACAAGGCCCCTGACCACTGGTACCCCCAGGACCTGCAGGCCCGGGCCCGCGTGGATGAGTACCTGTCATGGCAACACACCACCTTGCGAAACTGCTGTACCCGGGCCTTGTGGCAAAAGGTGAGCACCCCTGGGGGGCGGAGAGGGGGGGTGGGGAGCTCAAAGGACAGTGCTTGCTGCCCTGAGACCTGAGACCCTGAGAACCACACATCCTGAAACAACTCACAGAGCCAAGGAAGGAATCCCTCCCATACAGACCATGCACCTTCAGTCCTGAGCTCCCAGCACACGTCAACGCCCAGCTGCCCCTGGGGTATTGCTGTTTGGGGTAGGCCCCAACAAACACAAGGGCATGTGTGGTAGCTCATTAGTTGAGGTCCTCGCTTTGCATGCTCTCGGATCCCATAGATTTCTATTCATGTTCTGGCTGTTTTATTTCCTGTCCAGCTCCCTACTTGTGGTCTGGGAGAGGAGTTGGGGATGGCCCAAGGTCTTGGGACTCTGCATCCATGTGGGAGACCCAGAGGAAGCTTCTGGCTCCTGGCTTCAGATTGGCTCAGCTCTGGCCGTTATGGCCGCTTGGGAAGTGGATCAGCAGACAGAGGATTTTTGTCTCTTCTTCTCTCTGTGTATCTGGCTCTCCAATGGAGATCAATATACATCTTTAGAAAAACAACAACAAAAAGACAAAAATATTCACCTTGCTACACACCTACTCCCTGGATGAAAAATAGTCTGATACTATAATGAAACGAGGAGTCCTTGCAGTTGGCATGTGCCTGTTGTCTGGGCGTTGAAGACAGTCTAAAAGTAGACATAATGGGAGAACTCAACAGAGAAAACATCAACGTATTTTTACACCTACAATGAACTTTACTTTGGGATGCAGAAGGATTACACTCAAAACAAATAAGATGCTGGGAACTGGTAAAGATATGTCAGAAAAAATAAGACGTCAGAAATAAGTGAATTTTAAAAAGACATATTTTATTTGAAAAACAGAGTTACAGAGAAAGAGAGACATCTTTCAGCCACTGCTTCACTCCCCAGATGGCTAGAGGACTATGCCAGGACTATGCCGGGCTTGAGCCAGCAGCCTGGAATTCCATCTAGGTCTCCCAGCTAGGTGGCAGGGGCCCAAGCATTTTTAAAAAAAGATTTGTTGTTGTTGTTGTTGGAAAGTCAGATACACAGAGAGGAGGAGAGAGGAAGATATTCCATCCAATGATTCACGCCCCCTCAAGTGGCCACAATGCCCAGAGCTGTGTTGATCCAAAGCCAGAAGCTGGGAGCCTCTTCCAGGACTCCCACGCGGGTGCAGGGTCCCAAGGCTTTGGGCCGTCCTCCACTGCTCTCCCAGGCCACAAGCAAGGAGCTGGATGGGAAGTGGGGTTGCTGGGATTAGAACCAGGGCCCATATGGGATCCTGGCACGTTCAAGGAGAAGACGTTAGCTGCTAGGCCACTGTACGGGACCCAAGAAATGACATTTTTAAAGGTACTTTAGGAAACTCATCCAGTAGGCATTTTTCACCTGAAAAAGGAAAATGGGCCAAGGAACCCAGCAGGGGTTTAGTGGAAGGCCAAAGACACATGGCCAATAAGTGTCGAAATTCTATTTAATTTCAACACCCATCAAGTGTGAGCCAGGCAACACACACACACACACACACACACACACACACACACACACACACACACACCCCTGCTGTCTTTCTTCTCCAGCATTCATGTGTTTGAGCTGTGCCCCTGGGATTCTTGTTTGCATAGCACTCACGTAGCACCTGGCACACAGTGTGTGTATGTGGGTGAGAGAGCAAAGTGGGTCTGCTCACACCTGGTGCAGGCAGTCTATTCTGGCAATAAGTGGGTTTTCCAGGGTCAAGAGACACTTGAATGCCCGTGTTTCTACCTTGAGCCTCTAGGAATGGGGAAACAGAACTCCCTGAAGCTGGCGGGAGTGGAAGCCTGGGGCCACTTGAGGGCAGAGTAAGAAAAGATGAGGAGAGCGAGGAAGGAGGAGCCAGGAGCGACAGTGAGCATCAAGGAGTTGTTGGAAGTGCAGAGTGCCAGGCCCCATCCAGATTACTGCTGATTGGGAACATGTACCTTAACTGGATCCTTGGGGTGGTGTGGGCTGCCATGGCGGTAAGGGGTGGTGGGGACTGGACTGTGCCTGCACTGGGGAGGGTTTAATGTTAGGGCAGTGGGGAGCCATGGAAGGCTTCCTGTAGGAGGAGGATGAGCAGGCTGAGGAGGCATTAAGAGCTTCCCCAGCTGCCCTATGGGAGGAGGGCCCAGGGAAAGGTGGAGGCAGATCCTGTTTGAGTAGGAGACCAGGGTTGCTGGGTGCCAGGGATGGGCAGGCTCAGGAATATATCAGAGCCTGGTAATGGATGGGAAGAGGGCAGGGCCCGCATGGGCTATGATGTGACTCTGGCCCACCAGGTGTTTGGCCCGGTGTTCCTGGGCCAATCAGTGCCCCCTGAGACGTTGGCAGCCACTTTGGCGGAGCTGGACAGATGCCTGCAGCTACTCGAGGACAAGTTCCTGCGGGACCAAGCCTTTCTTACCGGTCCCCAAATCTCAGTGGCTGACTTGGTGGCCATCACGGAGCTGATGCATGTGAGTGCCATGGTGGGGGCAGGGCGGAACCAGGTGACCCCCTGGCTGTGACAGCCTGGAATTCTCAGTCTCTGTATCCACCAAATGAATCCAAATGAACACTGGTGATGTTGGTGCTGCTGGTGGTGGGCGAGGGACGCTTCTAAGCAGGAATCCCTGGAGGAGTTTACGAAGCTGGTGCTCACCTGAACCCAACCCTTCCCTCTTGGCTCCCTCTATCCACAGCCCGTCAGTGCCGGTTGCCACATCTTTGAAGGCCGTCCCAAACTGAACGCATGGCGCCAGCGCGTGGAGGCTGCCGTGGGAGAGGACCTTTTCCGGGAAGCCCACGAAGTGGTCATGAAGGCCAAGGACATGCCTCCGGCAGAACCTGCCGTCAAAGAGAGTCTGGCGCCTGTAGCGCAGGTGCTGCTGCGGTGAGCGGATGGCAGGCACCCTGGCCTGCAGAGCTGTGACATCAGAGGACGTCGCCGGCTGGACATAGCTCGCCACCCGCCCTGCAGGCTGTGCTCCATATTCAGGGGGATCACAGCTGTGTGCCTTTTGTCACCCACCCCATTCTCACCCTTCCCTCTGACCTCCTGGAAAACCCCTCTGGAAAGAGTCTGAATAAACACTGATTTTGCTTAGTATCGTATCACCTTGTTTGCATCTTGTCCTGCTTATCTTGCTTCTCCGGAGGTTGAAGTACAAAGGTGCTGAACTTGACACTGAGGCCTTGCACATTCCTATCCTGCCAGACCTCACAAGTTTCAGACCTCTGTCCTGGAGGGCCCCCACCCCTTGGCTCCTTGCCTCGGTTCACCTCGTCCCTTCTTCATCACTTTGGTCTGGTGCCTATGCTGGTCTTTTGGCATCTGGCACCTTCTCCAGGAAGTCCTCCAAGCCTGCATGGGCCCTGGGTCAGGTGAGGTGACTCCTCTGGGCATGAGTTTCTCAGTTGCTTGGGAACAGTCTCCAGGCATCCATTGCCCTACCCTACTCTCCCCTGCCCCAGGGTTGCACACAGGCACCAATGGAGGCTGATCCTGAGGTGTCTGAAGCAGGAGTGGCATGGGTCGTCTGGGTCTCCTCCCAAGGTGAGTGGGGGTCCCTGGCCCTCCCAGGTCCACTCCTCACCTTCTCCAGACTTGCCACCTTCAGGGTTATCACAATTTATCCATCAGCCCATGGGTCTCAGACCCTCTGATACTTGAATTATGCACTAAGCAAACTAGCGGAACAGTGACAAGAAGCCCCCTGTATCATGCACACCTGCAGGGAATCTTACACGTGAACTTGTCACTGCACACAGGCACCCCACTGACACACTTAACTGATGTTTGGACAGTCAGAAGGCACAGGCTCTACAAGGCTGTGGTGACTCCCCAGTGGCCAGCAGGCTCACAGGGTTCAGAAGTTAGAAGGGATCGGGTACAGAGGCAGTTCCCCCAAGTGACATGCCCAGCTCCAGCTGCATTTGCAAGGGTTACCAGGTCTCCTGGTTGTCCCAGAGAAGCACTGCTGGCTGATTCCCCTCTGGTACTTGAAGTTGGCCTGACTTTACAACATAGCAAACTGTTGAATACAGTTTGAGCCATTATGGTGGTGGTTACTGGGGGGAAGGGATCAACCGTGGGGAGAGCCCCCTGAGGTGTGTGTGTGTGTGTTTTGCAGAAGTTTTGCACACCTCCAACATAAGCTAGAAAAGAGAAAATCACCTCCCCCCCCCTCCCATCCTGCCCAGCCCTCCGCCCCGGAGCAGGGTGGGCGGAGCGTCCTGGTTGGGAGTGGGGTTACACTTAGCTGGCTCGGGTGAGAGAGAGAAGCCGAGCAAGCAACTGGGGCCACTTTCTGAAGAGGTGCAAGTTGTGTAACTTGGGCAGCCAATCGCGCAGAGCCGGGACCCTCCCGGCCCAATGAGGAGCCCGGTGGCCTGGTGCCCTTCCCCGGTTTCCTAATCTGAGACCTTTGCCCGCGTCCAGCAGGAGGATTCTGCACCTGCCTTGCTGAGTGGCTGCTGCTGGCCAACTCCCGGCCCGGCAATGCCGTTTGTAGAAGTGGACACCAACCTGCCCGCTACCCGCTTGCCCCCGGGGCTGGAAAAGCGACTGAGCTCGGCCGCTGCCTGTATCCTGGGCAAACCAGAGGACGTGAGTGTAGCCCAGGGAGCCGCGGGTGCGTGGGACACTGAGGTCCTAAGCTTCCAGTCCTGTCCACGCCGCGACTCCTACGGTGGTCCTGATTGTTCTACTCAAAGAACCGCGCCGCATCCCACCTTAGCTCTCCAGCCGTGACCGTGTGATGGCCCTTCAAGCTCACCTCTCCAGCCCTCTACGACGCCACATGGGCTGAGCTCTGACTCCCCGGGGTCGCCCCTCCCCTGGGTCAGCTCCAGTCCCGGCTGACCCTGCTGCCGGTAAAAATTGGTTGTTCCCTACAGCGCGTCAGCGTGACCGTGAGGCCGGGACTGACCATCCTGATGGGCGGCTCCACGGAACCTTATGTGCACTTGCGGGTCTCCTCCATCGGCGTGGTGGGCAGCGCCGAGCAGAACTGCGCCCACAGCGCCCGCTTCTTTGAATTCCTTACCAACGAACTGGCCCTGGGCCAGGAAAGGTGTGTAAAGACCAAGGGGAGGACCCACTGGGGAGGAGACTGCACCCTCAGCCCCCAATCCTCAACCCCCGCATTCCTCACCCAACTCAGGAAGGGCAGACTCATCCCAGTTCCCAGGCCTCTAGTGTTCCTATGAATGAATGAATGAATGAATGAATGAATGAATGAATGACCAGCTCTGCAGTGGTTCCCCGTGACACCTGTACCAAGTGTGGCTTGTGGATCTCCAATGTGCTGGCGTGTGAACCTAGAAGACAACCTGAGCACCATTTCCCCTGGAGCATTTCAAGGGTCACATGGCCTGACAAGTGTCACCTGGCCAAGTAGAGAGATATTACTGCCTGAAAAAAAAAAAGCCAGAATTTCATGCCTAGGGAGAGCTTTTCCAAGCTGCTTGGGAGAAATAGTGGAGAGGTGCCCAGAGGCCCTAGGAGAAACTCAGGGACAGAGCCACAGAGTAGAGAGAGAGAGCCCTGGCATGGAGGGTGGGGTGGGGACTTCGGGACATGTGGGGTCTGGGGTCAGCTCTGATGAGTATCTGGAGATGAGCCATACCCCGCTGGGAGCCCCCTCTTTGAACAACAGACATCAGGGGCAGAGTTCAAGGGCTCCATTCTCCAGTGAGATGCTACCACCCAGGCGTGGCATCGACGTCAAGGGTGACACTGCCCACTGGGTACAGTTCAAGTGCCACTGAGGGCCCCAGGGCCTGCAGTAGACCTTCCAGACTCATTGTGTACCCAAGGAAGGCTGGCAAGAACTGGCTGCTTCTGGCAGGTGCTCTGACCTGGCCCAAGCTGGGGAGACGCAGTCATAAGGAATGGAGCGACGCTCCTAGCTGGGAACTCTGCAGGTTTCTCATATGTGTGAACTTGACCACTCCTGCATGCCCTCTTGTGCAAACATATGGCCCCCACAGGGTAGATGCCGCCATTATGCCAGTTTTACAGATGGGAAAAGTAAGATCATCACACACTCAGATAACCCCCTCATGCAGATGCACAGAACAGCCCTGCACCCCACCCTTCTGCTCGGGTATGCTGTCTGCTTTTCGTCACCATAACCTTCATGTCATTTTGGCAAGAGAGACCTGAGGATTCACACGGTGGGTGTGAGCTGGGGGAATCATCCCAGCTTCACCTTGAGCCAGACGTTGAGACATAGGTTGACTGAGATGGGGTACAGGTCCCTGGGGACCCTACAGTTAGGAGGAGGGGGGACTGCATAGACTTTGCCAAGCACACAGCACCCACACGAAGGCTCCCTCCCGTGAGGTGCATGTCTTGAGGGGGCACTGCCTGTCACCTGCTTCTCCACCAAGGTCATGGGAAAGGTCAGAGCAGGGGGTGAGCGGGACTTCAAACTGCAAGGTGGGCTAATGGGCTGACCTGGTGTGGGAGGGGCGTGCCAGATGCGGTGTGAAGCCAAGGAGCTGATCACATTATTTTTCTCTCTTCTGAAGGATACTTATCCAGTTTAACCCCCTGGAGCCATGGCAAGTTGGCAAGCAAGGGACAGTTCTGACATTTCTGTGATTGTCACTTCCCCAGGTGTGTCTGTGAGTCAGCACTCCTGATCCAGTGGAGTTCTGGGAGGGGTACCAGCTTTGAGCACCCCTCCTAAGCTTACCTCCCAATCCAGCTCCCTGCTAATGTACCTGTAAAAGCAGCTGCTTGGGCCTCACTAACCACCTGCAGACCCAGCTAGACTTCCTGTTCTGATCTTAGCCTGGCTTAGCTCTGGCCATGCCAACAATCTGGGAAGTGAACCAGCAGGTGGAAGACCTGTCTCTCCCTCTCTGTAATTCTGCCTTACTAATAAAAAATCTTATAAAACAAAGAGGGAAAAAAAAGAGGTTTATTTCGATTGATGGTCTTGGAGACCAAGGTCGAGGGTACTTATTGCACTCAGCGGAGGCCAGTGGAGCTCCAGGCTCCAGGTTTTAACTGATGTAGGTATTGGGGGAGTGAGACAGCAGAGGGAAGATCCCTTTCATCTCTATGTAAAACTACCTTTCAAATCTTAAAAGCGAAAAGCCAGCCATGATCTCCTGGTTCAGTTGCCTCCCATGGGAGTATTTGGGGCAAGGATGCTGGCCCCTCCCACACCCTCCAGCCCCCTCACCACCACCACCACAGCCTTCTCTAATTAGGCCCCACTGTAGCTCCTAGTCTTGCCACCTGCAGGGAACCACCAGCCACCTGTCTTGTGCCCCAGACTCCACGGAGATCTCCTGAATCATGGTGACAAGGCACGATGACAAAGTCTCCTGGCTGGCCTGCCTCCACCCATCCCTCCCGCCCAAGGAGGCTGCAATCCGTAATTTGCACACTCATGCAGAAAATCGTGTGTTGACTGAAGTTACACCCATGAACTCAGCAATAACAACTGTTGTCCCTAACATCTCTTCCCCCTGCCCAACGACACCCTTGTGGCTCCTAGACCCTATAAGGGACTGAAAGTCAGGGTCAATTCCAGGCCCACCTGTGCTTCAATGTCACTTCATGTCCACAATATGGTGCTTAAAATCTGGTTGTGAAATGGTTGACAGATCATTGGAAAAAAAAAAAAAAGAAAGAAAGAAAGAAAAAAAGGGATTGTAAGTCCTAGAGAGGGTTGTTGTCAAGAAGAGGGGGCGGGGTGGGGGGAGCCTGGAAACACTTCCAAAGGTGTGGGTGTTGGTGGGTGGGTTTCTCATCCAGACAGAAGCAGAGGTCCAAGGACCTCAGCACCCCAGGGACTGCAGAGGTCATAAATCGCTCACTGGGACCTCATGGGTACCCAGAGATCAGACTTCCGCAAATCAGAGCCAGAACACTGCCCTGCCCAGTCCTTTGGCAGGCAGCCATGGGTGGGACCACTGAGTCCCAGCAGCCAATGAGAAGCACGACTGCCTAGCCCAGCATTGTCCCAGCTGCCTGTTCAAATACACCTGCCAGTCCAAGCAGCCAGACCTGTCCTGTCTTCTCTGTCCCTGCCGCTCTCGCCAACATGCCGATCATTGAACTTGACACCAACCTGTCTGCGGACCGCTTACCTGCGGGGCTGGAGAAGCGGCTGAGCCAAGCAGCTGCTGCCATCCTGAAAAAACCCGAGAACGTACGTGAGCTTGGGCGGTTCAAAGATTGGGGTTCTGCCCGGGTTGCAGGCTCAGATTGCCCTAACCCCTGCCCTTCTCCCCAAGGCTCCTTCACTCAGCCTCTGGCACCTCTCACCCCTGCCCAGTATATCCAGTGTCTTACCTTGTCGCTTTCTTCAGCAGTGACATTGACTACTCAGAATGGCACCTCTCAGAGGACCGAGGGTTTGGCTGTGGCCCAACTGCAGGTGACACTTGTGTTTGTTCCTTACCATGCCCGCAGATCATGCACGTGTTGGTGCGGCCAGGCCTGACCATTGTGCAGGGTGGCTCCACTGAGCCCGGTGCGCACCTAAGCGTTACGGCTTTCGAAGGATTGGGCACTGCAGAGCAGAACCGTGAATACAGCGCCCGCTTCTTTGAATTCCTCACCAAGGAGCTGGGTGTTGCCAAGGACAGGTGCGTAAGGCCTCAGGGGACACCCATTGCAGGACACTGCTCAGGGCCACATTCCTGTGCAGTCCCCAAAGACACACTCATCCGCATCTGGTGTCCCAGATGAAGGTGGGTTGGCCTTTGGGTCAGTGCCACTGTCCAACAAGAATGTCATCATGGCTTCTTCTAATCCTCAGCGCTTATAAGTGGGCACAGAGTAGGCTCTCTTCATCAACCCTCTCGCCAGGTGCACTGCAAGGGTCTCATGGGCTGGCAGGTGTTCTGTACCTAACTTGGCACCTGGGCAAATGGGGAGATGCTATTGTTGGGAAGTAATCAGAGTCTCATTCCCAAGCAGAGCTTTTCCAAGCTGCTTGGGAGAAATCCTGGAGAAGTGTGGAGGCCCAGGAGAACTCAGGCTCAGGATCACAGAACAGTAGAAGAGTCCTGGCCAGGGGAAGTGGCAGATTCGGGACATGTGGAGTCTGGGGCCAGCACTGACCAGTAGCTGGTGATGGGCCATCCTCCGTTGGGTGGCCTTCATTGCTGAACAAAGCAGGGAGGCGTGGTGGCCTCCCTCTGCCACCATGAGATGCTGCCACCCAGATGTGGCATTGGCTTCAAGGGTGATGCTGCCCACTGGGTGCAGTTACAGTCAGTGAGGAGCTGAGGCCAGCAGGGCCTGCAGAGGACCTTCCAGGGTGGAGCCTTTGTGTACACAACACTGGTGACTCCTGGCAGGTGCTCCGATGTGGGTGGAGCCAGGGAGAGAGGATGATTCCCATAGGTGCAGCTAATGCGCATGTGCAGGGAATCCTATAGGTTCTTTTCAGGCCTGCCCCCAGTCTGGCCTTTCCCTTGAAGATGAGGTGTCATCTGCATTTTTGAAGGCTCCACAGAGAGGAGAAGGGAAGCTTGCCACTCAACTCTCCCTGCTGTGCTCATCAGCTGCCACTTGCTGTCGCCAGCAGGAGGGGGGGCACCAGGGGCTTGATCATTCCTCACTTGGATATGACCTGGGAATTGTCCCACACTGGTTGGGAATGTGGCTTTGAGGAGACAAAGGTCTCCTTTGGAGGTCTCCAGGGACCCTCCAGTTAGGAAGAGGGTGACTGTCGCTCTGAGCCCACACACTGGTGGACTTGGGTGCACGCTGCACCTGCTGGGAGGCCCCCAGGTCAACTCTGTCCTTGTTGGGTGGGCAGTGCCTGTCTGCAAGTGGCATGTGCTGTCCTGCCCAGGTCATGGGAGATCATTACTGGGACATAGATGCCTTCAGACTGCAGGGCAGGCTGAGCCGGGATGTGCTGGGAGCCTCAGTGGGCACCCCAGGGAGGGGTGTACAGGATGAGCCCTTAGCCACAGAGCTGAGAACTTCTTCTTTGTGTCTTGTAGAATACTTATCCGCTTCTACCCAGTGGAACGCTGGCAGATCGGCATAAATGGGACAGTTGCAACATTTTTATGATTGTCGCCAAGGGATCCGGGGTGTCTGATGTCTACCACATCCTGGTTGAGTGGGGATCTGGGGGATGCCAAGTTTGAGCTGAGCTGCACATGACCTCCCAGGTCTCCATGGTCCTGACCAATAAATGAAGAGAGCCTCACAGTGCAGACATGACTTGTGCAGCTTCTTGTCCCTCGACCTGGCCTCCTGGGCCAACATGGGCAGTGTGTTTGGCATGTGTGGCAGGCATTTCCTGTGCTGGGTTCCCCTGGCAGCGACATTGTCAGAGTACACACGAGTGGGTGGAGGGACCGTCCTGCTGGCTCTGATCTCACAGTCTGGTGGTGAAACCAGGCCTGGGGCTTCCTGAAGACTGTGCTGTCCCCAGCTGGTGTGGCCTGATCCTTTCCACCTCTGTGGACTACTTCCCACAGGCACCTGCCCTGGGCAATGCTGTGTTTCTCCTTCTCCCTGAGTGTTTATCGAGTCCTCCCCTAAACTGTGCAGCTCCTTGCTAGGAATACCAACAGCAATGACCCCAGCTCTTTATGTGCATTTTCAAAAGCATTAGTTTCTTTTTGTGTTGACAATAACACAATGCCATAGATTGGGTGAGTTATAATGAAAAGAGATATACAAACCAGCCTGTGTCCAGGAGGGTTAAGCTGCCACCTGCAACACTGACATCCCATATGATGCCTGCTCAGTTCCTGGCTGCTCAGCTTTCCATCCAGCTCCCTGCCAATGGAACCTGTTAAAGCAGCAGTGGATGCTCTAAGTCCTTGGGCTTTTGCTACCCAACTGTTGACCTGGTGAGAGTTCCAGGCTGGCTTTGGCCAATCCCAGACTGGAATACTGTAGACATTGAGGGGTGACCAGCAGGTGGAAGACCTGTCTGTCCCTCTCTGCAATTCTGTGTTACTCATTCATTTAAAATGCATGCTTTAATTGGAATGAGGAAGTGAGACAGAGAGAAAGATCTTCCATCTGCTGGTTCATTCCTCAAGTGACTCCCAAAGGTTGGCCTCAGCCAATCTGAAGCCAGGAGTTGCTTTCAGGTCTTCCATGTGGATGCAGGGTCTCAAAACTTCGAGCCATCCTCTCCTGCTTTCCCAGGCTATAGGCATGAGTATATGGGTAAGTAGTGGAGCAGCCAGAATACAAACCTGCACCCATATGGGATGCAGGTGTGTGCAAGACTAGGAATGTGGCCACTAAGCTACCCTGTAGGGCACCCTTTTTTTTTTTTTTTAAGAAGAGGTTTATTTGGCTTATGGTCCTGGATTCCAAGGTCCTTTCTTGCTGCGTCTGGTTGTGAGCGAGAGTGGCACCTACTAGAAGCAGAGTGTGCATGTGTCCCTTGTAGTCATTCTAAACCTTTTATAATACCTCCAGGAACAAATGATAAGTGTTTCGAGACCAACATTGTGTGCAAGGGTTTAAGCTGGTGCCATGTGCTGCAAGGTCAGCATCCCACGTTGATGCTAACTGGATCCCAATTGATCCATTTCCTGCAACAGCATTAAAGGCAGTCCTAGTACTTGACCTAAACCACTCGCAGGGGGAGACCCAGATGGAGTGAAGGCTCTTGGTTTCAATCACTGTGAGCATTTTGGGAGAGAGCCAGCACAAGCAAGAATCCCTTTGATCTCTTTACAAAAGTGACTTTCAAATCTTTAAAAGAGGAAGATTTCCTGGTTTAGTCTCTTCCCGTGGGAGTTTTGGGGGCAGCTGGGTGACCCCTGTCATATCACTCTCATCACCACCACAGCCTTCTCTTGGCCCCATCGTGGCTCCTGGTCTGGCCACCTGCAGGGAGCCACCAAGCCACCTGCCTTGTATCTCAGACTCCACGGAGATCTCCTGAATCATGGCGACAGGGCATGATGACAAAGTCTCCTGGCTGGCCTGCCTCCACCTCTCCCTCCCACCCAAGGAGGCAGCTCTATGTAATATGCACACATATACACAATGACATGTGTGTTGGACTGAATGGAGCTATACTCATGGGCCCACACATGATGATCTTTGTTCCTACTCTATCTCTTCCCCTTGCCCCAGTGGCTGCTCTCCCCTACAAGAGGGTGAAAGCCACGATCACACCCAGCCCCACCTGCACACCACGTGTTACTTTATGTGCAGAGAGCAGCACCCAGGTTCCCCTTTGGAACTTGAAATCTGATTGTGAAATGGTTGACAGTTCATTGAAAAAAAAAAAGTGTTGCAAACCACATGGAGAGGGTTATTGTGGGAGATCAGGAGAAGGGTCCCACAGGGTTATGCAGTTCATGTAATTCAAACTTCATCTAGATAGCAGCTATATCCAAAGTCCCCTAGCATCCCAGGGATTGCTGATGTCAGAGCCCTACCCACTGGGACCTTAGGTGCTCCAAGAGATCTGACTCCTGAACTCAGAGCCAGCACAGTGGCCCTTCCCAGTGCTTTGGCAGGCAGCCATGGGCGGGACCTCTGAGTCTCAGCAGCCAATGAGGAGCGTGACTGCCTAGCCCAGCATTGTCCCAGCTGCCTGTTCAAATACACCTACCGGTCCAGGCAGCCAGACTTGTCTTCTCTGTCCCTGCCGCTCTCGCCAACATGCCGATCGTTGAACTTGACACCAACCTGTCTGCGGACCGCTTACCTGCGGGGCTGGAGAAGCGGCTTCGTCAGGCCTCTGCGGCCACTCTGAACAAACCTGAGAACGTACGTGAGCGTGGGGAGGTTCAAAGACTGGGGTTCTGCCACGGTTGCAGGCTCAGATCACCCTAACCTGACCACCAATTTTCTTCCTGAGGCTTGATCCCTCTGTCTCCCAGAGTCCCTCTCCTTTGCAACCCAGGATCCAGCATCCTCAGGTTTCACCTCTCCCCAGCAGTGAACTATATTACAAGAGTGGGACTGTCAGAGGTCCTGTGGCCTCGGGTGGGTCACTTGTGTTTGTACTTTTTTATGCCGGCAGCTGATAAGCATCGTGGTACGGCCAGGCCTGACCATGATGCTGGGGGGTTCCACTGAGCCCGGTGCACACCTGAGCGTCATCGCTTTGGAAGGAGTTGGCACTGCAGAGCAGAACCGTGAACACAGCGCCCGCTTCTTTGAATTCCTCACCAAGGAGCTGGGTGTTGCCAAGGACAGGTGCGTAAGGCCTCAGGGGACACCCATTGCAGGACACTGCTCAGGGCCACATTCCTGTGCAGTCCCCAAAGACACACTCATCCGCATCTGGTGTCCCAGACTCCTCCCCCAGATGAAGGTGGGTTGGCCTTTGGGTCAGTGCCACTGTCCAACAAGAATGTCATCATGGCTTCTTCTAATCCTCAGCGCTTATAAGTGGGCACAACCCTCTCGCCAGGTGCACTGCAAGGGTCTCATGGGCTGGCAGGTGTTCTGTACCTAACTTGGCACCTGGGCAAATGGGGAGATGCTATTGTTGGGAAGTAATCAGAGTCTCATTCCCAAGCAGAGCTTTTCCAAGCTGCTTGGGAGAAATCCTGGAGAAGTGTGGAGGCCCAGGAGAACTCAGGCTCAGGATCACAGAACAGTAGAAGAGTCCTGGCCAGGGGAAGTGGCAGATTCGGGACATGTGGAGTCTGGGGCCAGCACTGACCAGTAGCTGGTGATGGGCCATCCTCCGTTGGGTGGCCTTCATTGCTGAACAAAGCAGGGAGGCGTGGTGGCTTCCCTCTGCCACCGTGAGATGCTGCCACCCAGATGTGGCATTGGTGTCAAGGGTGATGCTGCCCACTGGGTGCAGTTTCTGGTGCTCCGATGTGGGTGGAGCCAGGAAGAGAGGATGATTCCCATAGGTGCAGCTAATGCGTATGTGCAGGGAATCCTATAGGTTCTTTTCAGGCCTGCCCCCAGTCTGGCCTTTCCCTTGAAGATGAGGTGTCATCTGCATTTTGGAAGGCTCCACAGAGAGGAGAAGGGAAGCTTGCCACTCAACTCTCCCTGCTGTGCTCATCAGCTGCCACTTGCTGTCGCCAGCAGGAGGGGGGCACCAGGGGCTTGATAATTCCTCACTTGGATGTGACCTGGGAATTGTCCCACACTGGTTGGGAATGTGGCTTTGAGGAGACAAAGGTTGACTGAAGTCATGTGCAGGTCTCCAGGGACCCTCCAGTTAGGAAGAGGGTGACTGTCGCTCTGAGCCCACACACTGGTGGACTTGGGTGCACGCTGCACCTGCTGGGAGGCCCCCAGGTCAACTCTGTCCTTGTTGGGTGGGCAGTGCCTGTCTGCAAGTGGCATGTGCTGTCCTGCCCAGGTCATGGGAGATCATTACTGGGACATAGATGCCTTCAGACTGCAGGGCAGGCTGAGCTGGGATGTGCTGGGAGCCTCAGTGGGCACCCCAGGGAGGGGTGTACAGGATGAGCCCTTAGCCACGGAGCTGATAACTTCTTCTTTGTGTCTTGTAGAATACTTATCCGCTTCTACCCAGTGGAACGCTGGCAGATCGGCATAAATGGGACAGTTGCAACATTTTTATGATTGTCGCCAAGGGATCCGGGGTGTCTGATGTCTACCACATCCTGGTTGAGTGGGGACCTGGGGGATGCCAAGTTTGAGCTGAGCTGCACATGACCTCCCAGGTCTCCATGGTCCTGACCAATAAATGAAGAGAGCCTCACAGTGCAGACATGACTTGTGCAGCTTCTTGTCCCTCGACCTGGCCTCCTGGGCCAACATGGGCAGTGTGTTTGGCATGTGTGGCAGGCATTTCCTGTGCTGGGTTCCCCTGGCAGCGACATTGTCAGAGTACACACGAGTGGGTGGAGGGACCGTCCTGCTGGCCCTGATCTCACAGTCTGGTGGTGAAACCAGGCCTGGGGCTTTCTGCACACTGCTGTCCTCCTCAGATCCCTGTCCACACCTGGGATGGTTTGACCAGTTCCATCTCTGTTGACTGCTGCATCCTACACAATCCAGGTCGGGTAGGGTTGCATGCAGCTGCCATGGGTGTTTCTATGTTTCTCCTTCTCCTTGAGCTCTCATCGAGTTCTCGCCTGACCTGTCAACTCCCTCTTGGGTACTCTAACAACACTGATTCCTCTGTTGTACCTTTTTTTTTCAACATCAGTTTTTTTTGCATGTATTGACAGTAACAAAATGCAAAGGCTGGTTGTTATAAAAACTAGTTTTACAATAGTGGCAGCTTATATAATGTCTGTTTTATTTCTGGCTGCTCTGCTTTCCATGCAGCTCCCTTCTAACATTCCTGATAAACCTATAAAGGATGCTCAAAGTCCTTGGGTTTCTGCTACCCACCTGGAGAGGCTTCAGTCTGGCATTGCCCTGGCCCAGCCTGGGGCATTGCTAACACTGGGTGTCTGAGATTGCAGCACATAGAGGTTCTGTCTCTACCTCTTATCCTGCAACTCTGATTGATTCAGTTTAAATAAGTGTTTTTTAAAGAAGAGTTTTATTTTGTTGATGGTCCATGAGTTCAAGGTCAGTTGTTCCTGCCACTGATCTTAGAGGTGGCCCAGGATAGAACATACTAGAAGCAGAGTGTGCATGTATCCCTTGTAGTCATTCTTCACCTTTTATAATACCTCCAGCAATTGTTTTGTGGGTACTGCTGCTGTGTTGCAGAAGACTAAGGTGGTGCTGCCCTTCTGCAAGGTCAGGATCTCACGTTGATGCTAACTGGATCCCAATTGATCCATTTCCTGCAACAGCAGTAAAGGCAGTCCTAGTACTTGACCTAAACCACTCGCAGGGGGAGACCCAGATGGAGTGAAGGCTCCTGGTTTCAATCACTGTGAGCATTTTGGGAGAGAGACAGCACAAGCAAGAATCCCTTTGATCTCTTTACAAACCTGCCAGTCCAATCTTTTAAAAAAATATTTATTTGTTTTTATTGGAATGCCAGACATATAGCAGGAAGAGAGACAGAGAGTAAGGTCTTTCGTTCAATGATTCACTCCCCAAGTGGCCGCAATTGCTGGAGCTGGGCCAATCTGAAGACTGGAGGCTGGAGCCGCTTTAAGGTCTCCCAGGGTCTCAAGACTTTGGGCCATCCTTGACTGGTTTTCCAGGCCACAAGCATGGTTCTGGATGGGAAGTGTGCTTGCCAGGATTAGAACCGCCGCCCATATGGGATCCCCATGCGTGGTAGCTGAGATCTTTAGCTGCTAGGCTACTGCACCGAGCCCTGTCTTTCAATTCTTAAAAAACAAAAACAAAAAACAAATAACAACAGCAAAAGAAGATAAAAGAGAAATGATTTCCTGGTTTAGTCTCTTCCCGTGGGAGTTTTGGGGGCAGCTGGGTGACCCCTGTCATATCACTCTCATCACCACCACAGCCTTCTCTTGGCCCCATCGTGGCTCCTGGTCTGGCCACCTGCAGGGAGCCACCAAGCCACCTGCCTTGTATCTCAGACTCCACGGAGATCTCCTGAATCATGGCGACAGGGCATGATGACAAAGTCTCCTGGCTGGCCTGCCTCCACCTCTCCCTCCCACCCAAGGAGGCAGCTCTATGTAATATGCACACATATACACAATGACATGTGTGTTGGACTGAATGGAGCTATACTCATGGGCCCACACATGATGATCTTTGTTCCTACTCTATCTCTTCCCCTTGCCCCAGTGGCTGCTCTCCCCTACAAGAGGGTGAAAGCCACAATCACACCCAGCTCCACCTGCACACCACGTGTTACTTTATGTGCAGAGAGCAGCACCCAGGTTCCCCTTTGGAACTTGAAATCTGATTGTGAAATGGTTGACAGTTCATTGAAAAAAAAAAAAGTGTTGCAAACCACATGGAGAGGGTTATTGTGGGAAATCAGGAGAAGGGTCCCACAGGGTCATGTGGGGAATGGTTCAGACTTCATCTAGATAGAAGCTATATCCAAAGTCCCCTAGCATCCCAGGGATTGCTGATGTCAGAGCCCTACCCACTGGGACCTTAGGTGCTCCAAGAGATCTGACTCCTGAAATCAGAGCCAGCACAGTGGCCCTTCCCAGTGTTTTGGCAGGCAGCCATGGGCGGGACCTCTGAGTCTCAGCAGCCAATGCGGAGCGTGACTGTCATGCAAAATCCAACCCTCTGCCCCTGCTCCCTGTTCTAATACACCTGCAAATCCCTGTAGCAATAGTTACCCTGTCCTCACTTCCCAACATGCCAACCATTGAACTGGATACCAACCTGCCCGCCGACCGCCTGCCTGTCGGGCTGGAGAAGCGTCTATGCCAGGCAGCTGCCACCATCCTGAACAAACCCGAGAATGTACGTGAGCTTGGGGCGGTTGCAAGAACCGGGATATTGCCTTGGGTGCAAGTTCAGATTACCCTAGCCTGATCCCCACCTCCCACAAACTCCTCCTGTGCGTCCTCCCTTGTCGCCCTCCCAAGCCGTGATCTTTGGAACTTCCATGCTTGGGGCACCAGCGGTGATTTTCACAGCTCCCATGGTTGGGGCCTCAGCTTCAGGCGACACTTTGGTTGTGTCTCCCCCTAACCTCTGCCCAACTTTGGCCCACAGTACATAAACGTGATCGTGAGGCCAGGCCTGACCATGCTGCATCTCAGCTCTGAGGAGCCCTGTGTCCAGCTGCGCATCAATGCCTTTGGTGTGGTGGGTACTGCCGAGCAGAACCGCAGCCACAGCGCCCGATTCTTTGAGTTTCTCTGCAAGGAGTTGGCCCTGGGTCAGGACAGGTACACAAAGCCACTGGCCACACCCACCAGAGTTGCAGGGGCGTGTGGGGGCGGGGTGGGGGTGACTGCAGATCCTTGGGATTGTGGTGTTGATCTCCTGAGACTGTGAATCCTACAATTAGGAAGACTGGTGGGCTTGGTTAAGCACACAGCACCCACATGGAGGCCCTGTGCCATCTGTCCTAGGTAGGCGGGGCATGTCTGCAGCTGTTATCAACTATTCTGCCGAGGTCATGGAGAAATCATGACTGGTGGGAATGCTGAGCGAGGTTGGCCTGGAAGCCTTGTGTGAGCTCCTGGGGGAGGGTTGCAAAATGACCCCTTAGCCACGGAGCTGATAGCTTTTTCTTTGTCTTCTAGGATAGTCATCCGCTTTTATCCTGTGGAACTCTGGCAGGTTGGCATAAATGGGACGGTTGCAACATTTTATGATTTCACCAAGTGATCTGGGGTATCTGTGAGCCAGCGCCCCTTGACCCAGTAGGGGCCTGGGGGATAGCAGCTTTGGGCACCCCCTTGGGCTAATCAGCCTGTGATTTCCCTAGTCCCTCGTGGTCCTGACCAATAAATAGAGAGCCTCACTGCACAGATACGACTTGGGCACCTTCTTGTCCCTCAACCCGGCGTCCTGGGCCAACATGGGCAGTGTGTTTGGTGTGTGTAGCAGACACTTCCTGTGCCTGGGATCCTAGGCAGCTGCACTGGCAGAGCGTACATCTGGGGTTTAGGGTCCAGCCAGCTCCCACACTCCGTTCTCACAGTCTGGGGGTGAGGCCTGGCCTGGGGCTTCCTGAAGACTCTGCTGGCCTCCTGAGGTCACTGTCCTCAACCAGGGGTCGCCTAGGCCGTTCCTTCTCCATGGACTGCCGCGACCTGCAGGAGTCCAGGGTGGGGCAAGCTGTAGGCACCTTCCCTGGGTGTTGCTGTGTTTCTTTGTTCTGGCCTCTCACCGAGTTCCCCCTTGAGCGTGCACTCTGCAAATCCTCATGTTCCAAAAGAGCCTGGCCTGGAAATACAGTGTCTGCTAGGAGAAAGTGAATGAAAGCAGTCTCTGCCCCTCCACTGAAAATATATTTATTTTATTTTATTTTGGAGATGTCTTTATTTTTATTGGGAAGGTAGATTTACAGAGAGAAAGAAAGACAGAAAGATCTTCCATCCACTGGTTCACTCCCCAGATGGCTGCAACAGCCGGAGTTGAGCTGATCCAAAGCCAGTATCTACGAGTTTCTTCTGGGTTTCCCACGATGGATGTAGGTTCCCAAAGTTTTGTGCTATTATCCCACTGCTTTCCCAGGCCACAGACAGGGAGCTGGATTGAAGTGGAGCAGCTCAGATGTAAACTGGTGCCCATATGGGATCCTTGCGTGTGTAAAGTGAGGATTTAGCCATTGAACCATCTCCAAAAATGTATTTATTTTGAAGGTAGAATAACAGAAAATGAGATGTTCCATCCACTGGTTCCCTCCCCAAAATGGCCACAATGATGTGGGCTGGGCCAGGCAGAAGCCAGGGTGGCAGGGACCCAAGTACTTGGATCATCTTCTGTTGCTTTTCCAGGTGCATTAGCAGGAAGCTGAATGAAAAACAGGACAGTGGGGACTTGAACCTGCACTCTGATGAGGGATGCTGATGTCACAGGTGGCTGCTTAACTTGCGTTGCCACTTTCCTATTTCAGAGCATAGATAAGTAGAATGGGGAACCACCAAGGAAGCACCCATTTCAGCAGTGTTCCAGCTGTCCCCTTAGGGTGCTGTGTCACGTTGCTCTGCCCTATCAAATACCTGAGAATCTATGCTCCAGGAGAAGACCAAATTAATACCAGCCTGTGTGGTTGACAAAGTTTAATAAAAACAGCTTGGGCCCGGCGGCGTGGCCTAGCGGCTAAAGTCCTTACCTTGAATGCATCGGGATCCCATATGGACGCCGGTTCTAATCCCAGCAGCTCCACTTCCTTCCAGCTTCCTGCTTGTGGCCTGGGAAGGCAGTTGAGGACGGCCCAAGGCTTTGGGACCCTGCACCCGTGTGGGATACCCAGAAGTTCCTGGATCCTGGCTTCGGATCAGCATAGCATCAGCCATTGTGCTCACTTGGGGAGTGAATCATCGGATGGAAGATCTTCCTCTCTGTCTCTCCTCCTCTCTGTATATCTGACTTACCAATAAATAAATAAATCTTTTTTTAAAAAAAATAAAAACAGCTTACAGAGGAATATGCTGCACCTGCTGTCTTTGCACCTGTCCCTGGCTGAGCATCCTTGGGTTTCTTCCTCTGCATCCATTCTAACTTGCTCTGTGCCTTTTCCTTCCACAAGCCCATTTCATTGGCTGGACTTTTGGGGTACGGGTAGGTCCCCTAGCCTGCTCAAAAGCCAGAGGTTCCACCCCCCCACATACCTCCCTCTGGAATAAGATGATGGATTAGAGGGGAGGTCATTCTAGGTCTCAGGGAGGGGGCTGTGGTAGAATTGGCCTGGCCCGGGGATGGATCACACCAGAAGGGAATTTTGCCAAGCCCAGGCACCCATATCAGCATCGTTTGGTTCAGCCCCAAGACTGTGGACATGAGACTGGTGGACCTTGAATGGGGCCAGGATCTGGGATCCAGCCACCCAGATCCAGCCTGGATTCTTGGGAAGTGTCTCTGCCTCTCTGGGGGATCTTAGGAGCCTGGTACATGCAGGAGTGGGGGCAGGGACAGGCAGAGATTTGAGTGTGCTGTGGGTTCTCCCAACGCATGCAGCTAACTTCCCCTACAGGCCAGCAGTGCCTCAGAGCCAACGTGCTGGGTTCTGGAGCTCAGGTAGCACAGAGGAGACCTGAAGAGGGAGAGGGGCAGGGGAGAGGTCAGCGAGGACTTCCTGGGAGAGCAGACTGAGACAGGTGGTGCATCCCAGCATCCCATAAAAGTGTGGGAGTCCTGGCTGCTCCACTTCCAATCCAGCTCGCTGCTAATGACCCTGGAGAAGCAGCAGAATATGGTCTAATGTCTTGGGCACCTGCCACTCATGTGGGGGGGGCCCAGGTGGAGTGCTAAGCGCCAGGGTTCAGCCTGACCCAGCCCTGGCCACCGGGACCACTAATGAAGTACTAGATGGGAGATCTCTCTTCCCCCATCTCTTCCTTTCTCTTTGTAACTCTGCATATCCAATCAACATAGAAAATGAAATACAACAGAGAGAAGTCTGGGGTTCAGTGAGAGGTGGAGAGGGCTCCGTGTTAGGGCAGTGGGGAGCCAAGGAAGGCTTCCTGCAGGAGGAGGATGGGCAAAATAAGGAGGCAGAAGGATCTTCCCCCACCCCACCTGGCTGCCTCCAAGTCTACCATGTGGTTTGCACTTGAGTCACCATTGCTGCCTTCAGGGCTGAACATTAGCAAGAGACTAGATCCAAAGCAGACGAGGCATTCGGGCCCAGGTACTATGATGTGGAATGTGGGCATCCAAAGCAGTGGCTTCACCTGCTACATTCCAACAACATTCCAACAAATGCAGATATGAAATTTGACCTGTGTGATGTAGTTGCATTTACCACTCCAAGATTGTTGTTGTTGCCGCTGTTTTTGCAAGAATGACTGGAAGCATGGTCCGCCAACTCTTAGGGTTTGAAAAGGATTTAGTTCCCCAAGTTCACACAGATACGTTCATTCTTACGTCTTCTGGAAAAAAGATGGTTTGGGACTGGTGCCATGGTATAGCAAGTTAAGCCTCTGCCTGTGGCACCGGCATTCCATATGTGCCCTGGTTTGAGTCGCAGCTGTTCCAGTTCCGATTCAGCACCCTGCTAGTGGCCTGGAAAAGCAGCAGAGGATGGCCCAGGTCTTTGGACTCCTGCACTCACGTGGGAGACCTGAAGGAAGTTTCTGGCTCCTGGCTCCTGACTTTGGACTAGCCAGACCATCTGGGGAGTGAACCAGCCCATGGAAGCCCCATCTTCAACCGTGAGTCTTCAAAACTATCATTGGAAATAGGCATTTCTTCCTCAAGGGCCACCTCATTTACCCAGCAACAGCTTTCCAAGCCGAATCAACACCCTTTGCCACCCCCTAGTGGACAGCGACGACATCAACGCCACGAGAGGCTGTGGGGTCAGAGAACAGATGCTGTTACTTGCAGCTGGCACGCAGTCCCCACTGGAGTCATGAGATCTCCATCAAGGACTAGAAGTTCCAGACCTTGAAAAGGTGACAACTTCATTCTTGGTCCCCATAACGGTGGCTGTTAGGGTCTTTCCTGTGTGCTTTTGGATGGATGTTCCTCAACAGGAAGCCAGCGGTCCGCAACACCAATGATGAGCGGACAAGGGACCTCCCCTCACCCTTCCCGGACGCCATCGGCCACGCAGGATGGCGGCCGGGAAGCGCCGGGATGTGTCGGGGCGGAAGTCTGGCTGCCCCTTTCCTGCAAAGCACGGGTAGGGGGCGTGTAGCCTCGGCAGCCAATCATGAGGCGCTGAGTCTCTGCCAGCCAATGAGGAGCCTGGTCGCGCGGACAGCCCCGCCTGTCTCCCCTCCCCCCGGGAGTCTTAAGTTCTGTGGTTCAGCTCGTCCTTCCCCACTTTGGTCTCCGTCCGTCTCCCGGCCCCGACATGCCCTTCGTAGAGCTGGACACGAACCTGCCCGCCGACCGCGTCCCCGCAGGCCTGGAGAAGCGGCTGTGCGCGGCCACTGCCGCCATCCTGGGCAAACCTGAGGAAGTAAGCGTGACTGGGAAGCAGCGGCCGCGAGGAGGTTGGGATTGGGGGATCCGGCTCGGTCCACGTCCAGAGTCCCCCAAACACCGACCTCACCTTTGTCCCCAGGAATCCGTCCTCCCCACTCCGTATCCCGAAGCTCTGGCCTCCCGAACCCCATGATCCCGCCTAACCCCTTCCCCACTGCCCCTCGTGCTGCCCTCCTCAGCCATGACCCGGCAGGTGCCCTCCAGCCCCCGAACCTCCGAGGTCGCCTGGCCCTCTTGCTGCCTTCCTCTGCCATGACCCAGCAGCCTCCTAGCCCCCAATGTCCCCCAGCCCCCCAGCCCCCAAGCTCGCCTGCCCGCCTTCGGATCTCAACACTATCCAGGTACCTGTCCCCACCCCGCGCCATCACAGCCTCAGGCCAAACGTCCTCGTATCACCCTTTAGCGCGTCAGCGTGACCGTGCGGCCGGGCCTGGCCATGGTGCTGGGCGGCTCCTCCGAGCCCTGCGCGCAGCTGTGTGTGTCCTCCATCGGCGTGGTGGGCAGCGCGGAGCAGAACCGGGGCCACAGCGCCCGCTTCTTTGAGATCCTCACCAAGGAGCTGGCCCTGGGCCAGGACAGGTGTGTAAGGCTGTGTAGGGGGAGTGGGAGAGAGAAGGGGAGGGGAAGATATCCACTGGGGGTGACTGCACTCCAGGAAGGTACTGATCCTGGCTCCGGACCTCTCAGTGAGGCTGGGGAAGAGACATGTTCCCGTTCAGAACACCCCCCCACACACACACACAAACACACACACACACCCTCCAGGACAGACCCATCTGGACCAGGTTCCCTGGTGGTAGGTCTGTCATGAGCAGCTGCAGGAGGGAATGAATGAATTCAGTGTTTCCAGCAGGGAGTCCAGGCTCCTGGCTGGGGTATCAGACCTGGTCCCAGCTGGAGAGAGAATAAGTCCTACAGCTGTAATGCTGGACACATGTCTGTCAGCTGTCAGAAACCCCACAGGTTCTCGCATTGGCTCTTTAAAGGCCCATGCCCTGACCCATTAAACAGACCCATCGCTCTCATGTCTCGTGTCATCATGGACATCTGCATTATGACAACTTCACAGAGAGGACAGGTGGAAGTGGTGCTGTCGCTCACCCCACCAAGCTGCTCATTCATTTTTAAGAAAAGATTTATCTGTTTATTTGAATTATGGGGGGAGACAGAAGAAGAAACACACACACATTCTCTTCCATTTACTCCCTGGACAGCCACAATGGCCAGGGCTGGACCAGGCTGGAGCCAGGAGCCAGGAGGAACTCCGTCTGCGTCTCCCACATGGATGCAGGGGCCCAAGTACTTGGGTCATCCTCTATTATTTTCCCAAGCCACTAACAAAGTGGAACTGCCAGGATTTGAACCGACGCCCATTCATTCCATAGTTGGGATTAACCCTGTGCCTGGTGGTTGAGACAGGCTGACACAGGTCCCCAGGAACCTGCAGGGGCTGGGGGGCAGGGAGGGATCTGGGCGCATGACTCTGCGTTCGCAGACTCATGGACACAGCTGAGCACCCAGCAGCCACCCAGAGGGTTGTGTTTTGTTCATGCTGGGTGGGCCACTCCTAGCTGCTGCAGCCTTCAACTACATGGTCTGTTAGGTCAGGAAAAGGTCATTGTTGGGCTTTAAAAATGGCTGGTGGGTCAAGGTGGGCTGGAGTGGGCGCATCACCTGGGAGGGGGCTGATATTAGCTAAAAAGTTGATATCTATTTTTTTTTCCTGTTTTGAAGGATACTTATCCGCTTTTGTCCTCTGGAGCCCTGGCAAGTTGGCAAGCAAGGGACAGTCATGACGTTTTTGTGATTGTCATGGAGAGACACAAGGACGTACTGAGTTGGCTGCCTTTTCTGGAAAGTTGGATCACCTTCCCCTCCCACCCCCGAGGCAGACAGACCTGTGATGCCCTACCCTCCCATACTAAATAAATTAAGAGACTTCCATCATTCCAATCATCCTGGGCCTCCATGGGCAGTGAGTGACATTTCTTAGGAGGGAAACTGGGAGAGCCTGGAGTTCTGGTATTCACATCTGGGTATGAAGGGTACCTCCTGGAAGCTTTGTTCATAACAGAGGCTACAGGTGAGGTATAGACAGCTGGCCTGGCCTGGGGCTTCCTGCAGGCTCTGCTGGCCCCGAGCTCCTGTCCTTATCTTGTGGTGGCCTAGGCCATTCTTTCTCTTTAAACTGCTCTGCTCTGTACAAGACAGGGGCAAGCTGGGCTGTAGGCACCTGCCCTGGGGGTTGCTGTGCGTCACCTTCTCCCTCGACTCTGCTGAGAATCCTCAGGTGCTTGCCACTTGTAAAACCCATGCCTCTTGCAACCAGCACTGTGGCGTCACAGGCTAAGCTTTCACCTGTAGTGCCAGCATCCCGTATAGGTGCTGATTCGTGTCCCAGCTGCTCCACTTCCCACCCAGCTTCCTGCTTGTGGCCTGGGGAAGCAGCAGAGGATGGCCCAAAGCCTTGGGATCCTGCACTCGTGTGGGAGACCTGGAAGACCTCGCTTCTGGCTTCGGATGGATTCAGCTCTGGCCTTTGTGGCCATTTGGAGAGTGAATCGTTGGATGGAAGATCTTCCTCTCTGTCTCTCCTCCTCTCTGTTTATCTGCCTTTCCAAGAAAATAAATAAAATTTTAAAAACATGTATCAGAGTGCCTAGTCTGGAAATGCAATGTCTGCCAGGAGAAAGTGATTAAATGTAGTTTCCCTGCCTTTTCATTTCAGAGCTGAGGTGGGTGGAATGGGGGATCTCAAAGTCAGTGTGCTATTCAGTAGCTTTGCACATGTTCCATCTCATGACACTTCCAGTCATGATCACAGGCGCTGTGTGGCCCGCACCGTGAAACACTAGATGATTGTTGTCTTTGGTGGACTTAAAGACCAACTTGAGAGGCTGACGTGGTGGTATAGCAAGCTAATCCTTCACCTGTGGCGATGGCATCTCATATGGGTGCCTGATCATGTCCCGACTGCTCCACTTCTGCTCCAACTTTCTGCTAATGCACCTGGGAAGACAGTGGAGTAAGGTCCAATTCCTCAAACCTCTACACCCACGTGGGAGACTTGGAAGAAGCTCCTGGTTCCTGGCTTTGGATTGGCTCAACTCCAGACATGGCAGCCATTTGGAGAAAAAAACTAGCAGATGGAAGACCTCTCTTTCCTTTTCTCTGTTAGCTGCCTTTCCAATAGAAATAAAAGCTAAAAAAAAAGAAAAAACAATGCCAACCTGAGATTTTGCAATCTGTGCATCTTAGGTGATTAACAAAGCAAGTCCATCATGGACTGTGCTAGTGGCTGATGGGTTTGAACCTGACACCCTCAGAAAGCTGGGTCTTGGATGTGTCCCTCCCCCTTGTTCTGGCTTCCTGTTTCAGCTGCTTCTGTACTCATTCCTCCCACCATCCTTGTCTGGTGAGTGTCTGACTTCCCAGCAGGACATAGGGTATACTTGTGGGTTGGGTGGCAGTTGGCCAGGACCTAACATGGGATTCTGGCTCTACTCTCCCCAGCAACAAGTCCCTCTGAATTAAGTTGTTGCTTCACCTGCACTGAGAGGGACGGGATGGCTGCTTCCTCCCGCAGCCCAGCTCCTCACTGCCTGCACTGCAGGGCTCTGTGGAGCCTTCTGGCTCCTGCCTGCACAATCTGTAACTTTCTCACCTTTGACTGATGAGTCACACCTTCTTCCTGCTCTTTTCATTTATTTTTAAAGATGTATTCATCCACTGGTTCACTCCCCAAGTGGCCACAATGGCTGGAGCTGATCTGACCTGAAACCAGGAGTCAGGAGCTTCTTCCAGGTCTCCCATGTGGGTGCAGGGTCCCAAGGTTTTGGGTCATTTTCTACTGCTTTCCTAGGCTACACGCAGGGAGCTGGATGGAAAGTGGAGGAGCTGGGACACAAACTGACGCCTACATGGAATCCCAGCATGTGCAAGGCAGGGATTTAGCTACTGAGCCATCGTGCCCTTCCCACCTTTATTTTGATATGTCTCCTGCCAGTGCATCTTCCATGATAAAACCCAGGGCTGGGATTGGGTTCAGGGCAGCCTGTTAACCACGTGATGTTTTGTTTCTGCAAACCTCCACCCACCCCATCCCACCTCTAATCTTGCAACCTTGTGTGTTCTAGTCAGAGTCAAGTTTGCTGACTCAATTTTTTTGTTGTTCTTCCTGACATATCACTAAAGCTGCATTGCACTGAGCTGACTTTTTGATATCACGATTTGACTCTTTTAAAGAAGATCCCCATGTGGGGCCCGGCGCAGTGGCGCAGATCCTCGCCTTGCACGCCCAGGATCCCATATGGGCGCCGGTTCTAATCCAGGCAGCCCTGCTTCCCATCCAGCTCCCTGCCTGTGGCCTGGGAAAGCAGTCGAGGACGGCCCAAAGCTTTGGGACCCTGCACCTGCGTGGGAGACCCGGAAGAGGCTCCTGGCTTCGGATTGGCTCAGCTCCAGCTGTTGCAGCCGCCTGGGGAGTGAATCATTGCACGGAAGATCTTCCTCTCTCCTCCTCTCTGTATATCGGCCTTTCCAATAAAAATAAATCTTAAAAAAGTAAAAGAAGATCCCATGTGGGGGTCAGCACAGTGGCATAATGGGTACAGACACAGCCTGCAACTCCAGCATCCCATATGGGTCCTGGCTGCTCCTCTTCTGATCTAGCTCTTTGCTAATGCACCTGGGAAAGCCACGAAGGATGGCCCGAATGCTTAGACTCCTCCACCCACGTGGGAGACCTGCAAGAAGCTCCTGGCTCAGACCAGCCCAACTCTGGACATTGCAGCCATTTGAGGTGTCAAACAGTGGATGGAAGACTTTCTTTCTATCATTCCTTCTCTCTCTGTAAATCTGCCTTTGAAATTAAACAGACAAAAAACAGGGGTATGTGAATTTGGTTTAATAATTATGATGAACATAATGAGATAATAATAATAAGGGAAATGGGGCAAAGGCTAATGGGAATTATATATTACTACTACAGAATTTTTGTTTTGTAAATTTAGAACAATTCTGAAAAAAACGCAAAAAAAGGAAAGAAATCATTTCTTATTTAAATCCTCTGCTGGGATTACAGCAACTAGATATTCCAACAGGTTGGGAAACGCTTCTCTAAATCACTTTGTAATTAGTTTCTAAGACTTCTGCAGGCCCTGGTGGAAAGCAAATTTATTATTATTATTATTAGTTTAATAGTTCGATACCTGTGCCTTTGAGGTTGTGATTCTTTTCGGAAAGAAGTGATGCATAGACCGCACAGCCCCCATCCCACCTGTCCCAGGACACACAGCGGCAAACAATGCCGAACTGGGAGCCGGAAGTCCTACCGCGAGCCGGTTCCGCCAACAGAGATCCGGAACCAATCCCCGATGGAGCTGGTTTCCAGAAGCACTCCGAGGGGCACCCTGGGCCAGACGGCCGCTAGGGCGCGCGCGACGCGCCGAGGAGCACGCCGATTGGTCGACAGACAGACGTCGCAGCCAATGAGAACGCGTCTTGTTGTGAGGCGCGCCGTCGACCGGCGCGGGGCTTCGGAGTGGATATCCGTTGCCGTGGAGACGCCGGGGTGAGTTCCGGTGCTGCCGGTTTTTGGGGGCGTCTGCGGGGTTAGGGGCTCGGGAGAGGCCGCGACTGGGCCGAGCAGAAGGGCGCGGGCAGGAGCGGCGGCCGGCGCGAGAAGCGAGTTCCCGGAGCGAGCGGTCGGCGCGTGCGGGCAGCCCTCCGGGACGCGAGGCTCGGCTTCCTGGGGGCTCGGCGGGCCTCGTCCCGGCCTCCCGGGCAGCTGTCGAGCTCCTTGGCCAGCTTTGCCTCACCCTCCTGGCAGCCCTGAGCGGTGAGTGCTGCGACTTCCAGGGCGTTTAATGGGGAGGAGGCGGAAAGCCGAGGCCGCGCGGGAGGCACACGCCCGGGTGTCTTGCACAGGTGTCCTCCGGCCCTGGGTCATGACAGGTGTCAAGTGTGGCAGGACAGGTGGATTCCTGGCTGCTCGGGGCTCCCGCGATGTCATACATTCTTTCCTGGACTTAGAATAGACGTAAGCAGTGATCTTCGGGGGTTTGCCAAGCTTTCATATAACACCGCGTGGCGAATGTTGCAGTACTACTTCGAAAAGTTTGTGAAACATGGAATTAGAAGTTTATTTTACTGCAAAAGTTTTTGCAGTCCATGCATTTTTAATAATAGGCATTTGGAATAGACTTCAATTCTTTTTTGCATGGACTTCAGAAACATTTTGCATCCTGGCAAGCTTACTTTTGGATGCCATTTTCCACGAACTCCATACAATAGGTGTGTTCCTGTTTATGGTAATACTGTAGATCTTGGAGACCATACTTTGTCTTTTCTTTCACTCTTTTTTATTTATTTATTTTTAAAATTTACTTATTTATGTTTGAAAGGCAGAATTAGAGAAGGAGAGAGACAGAGAAAGAGAGAGACCTTCCATCCATTGGTTCACTCCCCCAAATGGCCACACCAGCCAGAGTTAAACTGATCTGAGACTGGGAGCCAGGCACTTCTTCCAAGTCTCCCACGTGGTGCAGGGGTCCACGTTCAACTTTTGTCGCTTTCCCAGGTGCATTAACGGAGGGCTGGATTGGAAGCGGAGCAGCTGGGACTTGAACTGGCGCCCATATGGGACACTGTTGCTGCAGGCTGAGGCTTAGCCTACGTGCCCCTACACCTGCTCTGACTCTGGGTTTTTAGTTCTGGTAGCGTTGTAGTGTGGATACACCACAGGATGTAAGAGAGTGGCCACGTTCCTACGGAATTTTACTTCAGTTGGAATTTTGTGTAATTTTCACACATCACCAACTTTTTGCTCAATCATTTAAAAGTGTGAAAACTCATTCCTGAGCTGCACAAACCCAGTGGGCTGGTTAGCTTGTGGACCCCTTGTCTGCCTCAAAGCCATGGTGATGCGCGAGGTAGCCGAGTCCATCTTAGTGC